CTTAAAATTGATATTTATTTTTAGAGGTGACGATAGCATTGCTGAAAATATTGTGAACTGATTCAATCAGAGAGATGAACAACCTATTTCCCCTAAGAAGTGAAACCCTTGAACAAACTAAATCTGTTTACTCCGTGGTTCGTTCTTTACTAGTTTTCTATGTGTCTTTGAAATGAAAATGTAAATTCTGTTGGAAACTCATACGCAGACAACACACAAAATAAATTCATGAAGAGCAAAAATGGCGGAACGAAATATGGTTAAATAAGGACCGGAAGCAGAATTAAGAGAAGAGATTTTAATCCATTTATAAGCACACTATATTCTGCTTTCCCCTGAAACTAATTTATTAATTAGATTATTTTCAAAAGCTGTCTCTTCCCTTTTGCTATGGAGAAAACATTTCGGCTGTATGAAGTACAATATTCAAGAATATTTCTCTCTGTATTATGAGGTTATGGCAATATCAGGTTGGAACACCGGATCGCGTAGCCTTTACAATACCTAGATTTCTGTCTCGAATTATATATATATATATATATATACATGAATTATTCACACAAAACTAATGCAAAGGTTAATGATTTAAATGGCGAGAATCCATCGTCAAAAAATTCAAATAGTATACAAAAACCTCCAGATCCGTTATGAATGAATTGATCCTTGTTTATATAAATTTCGCTGTATTAGTTGTTAGGATCTGGAGGTTTTTGTATACTATTTGAATTGTTTGCGATGATGGATGTCTCGCCATTTAAATCATTAACCTTTGCATTAGTTTTTGTGAATAATTCATGTATTTGTAAATTGATTGCACGTTTATTGTAATTTAAATAACTGATCCAAGTGCGACTTTTAGATAATAAGTGCGACATTACTGTAATTATTGAACAATATAGTTCATGCCACTTTGACAGAAAAAATTTACCAGTAAAAAATTTGTTCATCACCATATTTGGTATAAACGCAAACACTTTTAAAATTTAAAATCAAACTCAGCGTTGCTTTGGCGCGTTCCAAAACCAATAACTCTTTTTCAATAGCATTTTTCGGATACAACAACACATATATTTTCGTTGTCCTCTTATTACTAAGAAAAAAACAAAAAAACAACATCTATTCTATACCTGAAGATGTCTGTAGGAACAGACGAAAAAGCTTGTGTAAAAAAATAACAACTAATACGGCAGAAATTTATATAAACAAGGATCAATTCATTCATAACGGATCTGGAGGTTTTGTATACTATTTGAATTGTTTGCGATGATGGATGTCTCGCCATTTAAATCATTAACCTTTGCATTAGTTTTGTGTGAATAATTCATGTATTTGTAAATTGATTGCACGTTTATTGTAATATATATATATATATATATATATATATATATATATATATATATATATGTATTTAGGCAACAATCCTTCATTTATGAGTGTGTGCGTTATGTGTATGTTTTTCGTGTTTTACAGAAATGTTTTATTTTCGGAACACGGTTAGCACATTGTGGCCTTGTTCATAGTTAATATTATTAAGAGTTGGCTTTTTCTTTTTTATTATTAGGGATTCCATTATTTTTAATCATTTTTTACAGGTGGATGAGGTTATTATGTTTGTGTTTTCTACTAGTATGTTTTCGAATGGAGTTTGGTAGATTTGTGTGTGTGTTCTAATAGAGCTGTAGTCAGATAGGTGTAACGTAAGGCGTCTGGATAGGCATGTAGTTGTGTGACCAATGTAATTATTTATGAGTTCGGTTTGATCAGGAACACAGTTCCTTAAGGGGAATTTGAACATAGATAATGTTCGTTCGTTGTAATTCGACAGGAAAAAAATCTTCTATCATACAACTTATGGCACAATCATCGACATTTCATCGTATTCGACGAAAACACCACTGTCTACACTAGGTTATAAATTGCCAAACTGTCCTCGTGCATCACCAGGGGCACTCCCTGGTTTGACTAGCACCTGATCACATGGAAAGCCGAAGCAGAACAACAGAGGCATTAGTTAAATGCCTCGTAGAAGCATTTTAATTGAATTAGGTATCGACAAACGTTGGTTCTGTAGGAGAACTCATCCACTTGCCAAAGAGAGGAATGCTGATCAAATAGCCTGATGAAAATAGTGCTCAAGAACTGCAATCCACCAACCTGTTGCCAATGTTTTCCCCGTATCCCTGGTACGGGGTGATTAGTGGTTGCTATATTTTCAGCCCAACCTAACGGTGAAGAGTAGTCGGTATACTTTGATCAAAAGATTGGTTTCACCTTAATTTACAGTAATGGCTATAACTCGCCTATAGAAGAATCACACTTACCTCCATTGTAGCAAAACATTATAACTCAATGCTTCTCAACAGAATACAGACGGAAGGGGAGAAGATGCTTCGAAAAAATCAAAATGGCTTTCGAAAAAATAGATCAACCATTAAACAAATCCTTTCTGTTCGGCAGATTATTGAGGACGTCAAGGCAAAGAATCTACAGTCCGCCTTGTTTATTATAGATTTCTCTAAAGCCTTCGATTCTGTACTTAAGGGACAAACGGAGAAGATCCTTCTGGCATACCCCACACTGAGACAGTAACTGTCATAACGATGCTAAACAAAAATACCTAATTTTTGGTTAGATCCCCAGACAGAGACACTAACTTCTTCGACATCAAACCAGGAGTCCTCCAGGGTAACACCTTTTCACCTTTTCTCTTTGTTATGACCTTTGACTACGAATTGTGAACTTACCTCGCCAAACATCATCATCTAGCTTTTACTTTATCCCCAAGGCTCTCACGTCGATATCCAGCAAAAGATTTAACAGATATTGACTAGGTAGATGACATAGCTATCATTGCAGACACCATTATCAATGCCACAGTTCTTCTACATCATCTAGAAAATGCTGCCAACGATGTTGGACTCTATGACAATGCCTCTAAAACTGAATTCATAGGCTTCAACCAGTAAGGCCCAATACAGTCTCAGATGAATCAATAAAATATGTTGAATTTTTTACGTATCTTGGAAGCGAGATAAATTCTACTGAAAGAGATGTGAAAATTTGCATCGCTAAAGTCTGGGCCGCATTTAATAAAATGGATGTAATCTTGAAATTTGATCTACCAGACAACCTCAAAC